AGGTGTTGTATTGTTTCGCTCTGTTTTTTTAGGGGAGGGGGGTTGGGGGGTCGAAAACTAAAAGCTGCCGAGCTTTGTTCAACATTTCGTGTTTAGAACTGCGAAGTTTTATCAGGCAATGCCTTAAAAATAATAATGCTATTCACTTTTATTTCAGGTGTTCACCGGTAACTCTGACGGCAACACCCCGGTCACTAACATGTTCAAAGCGAGTGTGTTGGCCACGACAGTGCGCATTGAGCCAACTGAATGGCATCACAACGTTGGACTGCGATTTGAGTTGCTTGGATGTCGCCTTGATTAATTCACACGTTCGGTGCTTGTAACAGTACATATTTTTTTTGCTTTTGAGAATTACTACCCGGACAATAAACATCAAGATGACTGGATGGTTGTTATAAAAGCATATGGTAAAACTTTTACAATGTTTCACAGAAGTTGGTTAAATTGGTAAAAATATAAACTTCCACTGAAGCTGAAAGTGAGCAAATTTTGGCAGGCTTGTAAATGCAGCTATTTTGCTTACAATTTTGGAACAAAATGTGCACATGAATAAGTAAAAGAGGCTTTTGTGTTTGTACAAAGTAGAACGCACTTTCGAGATCCCTGTTTTTTTAGTTAATCAAATGATTTACTTTTGAAAAATTAAGCGCCCAATTTCCTCAGAGTGCAACTTCATTTTATGTCTAAAATCTACATTGAATGCAAACTCGTAGTCTTGTAATCTAGTTTTCTAATTTTGATCTAGTTTTCCAATTATGCAGCTAATTTCCCGTGCAGTAGTAATTAAAGTATTTCATGCCTGTAGTGACAAAAGCAATGTATTTTAGGATGTTGGATCGACGGATTAAATGGTTGATTATTTATTACTAAACTTAACCAAGTAGTTTAGTCTTTTGAACCATATCAACCACTTTTTTGGTCAGCATTGGCCACAATGACACCATGTAGCCACGTGTCACAACTCTTCCAGGCGTCCTAAAAATTTAAACAATGACAGCAACAGGGAGATGTAAACAAAGGCCTTCACATAGGCCTCTGTGTACATGAGAACAAACCCGTTAATGGTCAGGTAGGACTGAGTAAAATAATTAATGATTAATAAGAATGGAATATTATTTATGAAAGCCTGTACACCATACTTGCATTGCATGCAAAATTTGTGAATAAAAGTTGAATTAAAAAAATGTTTAATGAGACCTGGGCCACAAGATAATAATGGAGGAAACTCCGCCCCCTTCCGTCATCCACCCCCTTCCTCCCGTTTTTAAATATCCTCTTTTGGGGACCCCTTCCCCTTAATTCCGTCACGCAGTGGCTGGGGGCAGGGGCACGTAAAAGTACCCCTGGGTACCCATCATTTGAAAATTTGGAATGTACGTACACAGAGTATAATAATATGCAAGCCTTGTTGCAAATGGAACGGTTCAACCTTGCCTTGTGCCCCCTAAGATATTTGACCATAGTAACACCACAGTTCTCTCATCAGCCCCCTTTGAACCACGTGACTGCAAGTAATTGCTAATTGGGACATTGAAATTCTGTACCCAATGGCCACCGTCTTTTGTGTACAGTTTTGCTGCTAATGCAATAAGGCTTCGTTTCTTTGTGAAAACATTCATGCTTCGCAAAAACTGAGTCAGTGTAGCTTTGGGTATTTGCTGCCATTTATACTACTCTGGAATTACGAGGATCTGGATCGTAATTTTCGTGCAAAACAGACAGGTCTATGATTGTCACACTTCACTGATCACAGCAATGGACCCACGATGTAGACTTGAACCCATTAATCCCTGATGTCTAGGTCGGTCTATCTCTCCTGACATGGCTACTATGCAATGACTGCAACCTGTTAAGTTGCCTCTACGCAACGGAATGCAGGGTGGTTGACGTATGTTCATGACGCTCATTAAGTACGCACGCGCAATATTTGCATGCACTTAACAACGGTATAGCAACAGGCTATGTCTGCGATGTGATTGCAAAACGAGGCGTCATCTTTGTTTATAGATTTCCAGGAAACGATTAATGCAACTTGGATTTGTCATGAAACTGTCATTATAATATAATGAAAATTTTCATGACAAATTCAAATTGCATTAATCGTTTTATTTTTCGGTAGCACTAATTTTGTCCCAAGACTCAGAAAACATATTGAAAATGTGTTTTTAAATAACCCAAAACTATTTTATTTTCATCTGAAAAAATTGATGGTTGCAAACTTTAATCAATATCTATTCAATATGAGTTTTTCTGGTTATAAAAACTAGATTCAGATAAACTAGAAGACTGTTTTAATTATTAAAGTGACTACAATAAAAAAAAATGGGAATCTGCCGGATGTAAAGTGTTGTAAAAAGCGTGCAAATTTTTGCGCCAAATCCTGTGAATCCAGACATTTTGTAACGGAAGAATACGTCACGTATCTTATCTAAAAAAAATTATGTCCTAATAAAACTTAATCCTTACAGTCAGGAATTATTGCTTTTTCAAAGAGGGGATACCCTTGCACCGTGCTCTTGTAAGGGAAACGTTTGAGTAATATTCTTGTAACGGCGAGTCACAGGTCAAAATCCAGTCTTGTACGCCTGTGTACACGTGAACGCGTGACATGTACAATTGTGTGCCGGGGCGGACTCCACGACTTTGACGTCTCGGTACCGCACTGGTTAGTGTCCACAGCAGCGGAAGTGATGAACAGGAAATGTCAGTAATGTAACGATTCTACATGTACATTGTGAAATGGTATCAGTGCCTACCAAATCGGTACAATATAACAGAAAATCATCATCCTCTTATTGGATATACTATTTTGCTAATAAAAATGGATACAAAATGGCTTGGGAATTTCGTGCACCATTGGATCGATACGATATTGGGGTGATTTAAAATGACCTGATTGATAAAAATGTTGTCCAGCGGATTCAAAATAAACGCCTAAAACCAATGCATCAAAGGTGATCTTTAATTTCCTGCAAGATTTTTGTGAGACTGTCTTTTGTATTAAAAATAATTGATGAAATTAGTGCGAAATTTTGCAATTTCGATTTTTTTTGGTTAGAAAGGGTCCATAAAATCCACTTTTTCATACTGTTCTGAGATTTACCATTATTTAAAAGTCTCACTTATGCAGGAAAACCGTGTGTTGTTCGTGGTGCCGTGTTTAGATCCTCCCAGAAGTTAATTATGCTCCTACGTTTAGGTATTTTATACGTCAGTCGTAAAAAATTCAACGCTATAATGTCGTTTGCTTGCACGAATAACTGTTGTTTTTGGCTTGAAATTGAAGTGCACATGCGCACTTGTAATGAACATTGTATCTATGGGGCATGAACATACATGGGTTTGAGAGAAAGAGATAAATGCGACCCACCCGTTGCTGCTAAAAAATTATTTTCTGTATCTGAGCTGCCTGCGCGGATAGGGTTTGATGGTTTGATCGAGAAAAGAGAATATAGGAAAAACAAGCGACTGTTTGTGCTTCAAATTCAGTAACATCTGAAGAAATGGGCGGAGCTGCAATGTTGGTGCTGATCGTGTCTGCACTGACAGGTAGGGTTTTCATCCTTTCATATTGAAACCTAATGGTTTGTTCTCCATGTTGTGATGATTTTATTTTCAAAACAGAAATCATCTGTATTCTTTTGACATTAACTTTCGGCAAATAATATTCTGTAACATCATTGTTTTGGTCATGCCGATTTTTTATCATTTGATTCCTTCTTTTAGTTCCATCCAGCCTCAGAAATGTGCACGTTTCATTTTCTTAAACTGGGTGATTACTGGGTGAAGCCTAATAATACCTTGCCTATAATTCCAATCTTTTCAGTCGATGGTTTTGCTATACGCTCATTGGCTCCTTGCCTCATCCGTTTTTAGCCCGCCCACAACGACCATGCTGATGGGAAAAGTCGCTCTATCTGGTGACTTTTCTCACTGCTAGAATAAAACGGTGACGAAATAAGAGTCTATAACACGTGCATAACACGTCAACTGAAGGTATTTACGACAATTATGGGGTTTTAATCAGCTTTCACAAGTCAGAGAAATGCCAGAATATTTGTATCTAAGAGTTCTTGAGTGGTGTGGAGGGCACGGCAAGGACGTGTTACTTCGGTCCCCCATCGAAACCTGATCCTGACAACCCGGATCACTGGATGAAGCAAGTCATGATAGAGATACGGGAGCGTTGCCCGGGAAGGAGGGGACGTAACCCAGCTGGTAAGTCATCTTGATTTGCATTTCAATAATTCTGATTTTGAAAGAGCTCCCAAAACGTTTTTCTTTGAAATCGATACCATATTTAAAGGACATTTGGATTCATTTCATAGGCACAATAAGAAACAGGGGAATCCCACAATATAGTTTTCAAATGTCAAAAATGAGCAACACTGAACAAATAAGCCTCCTGCCTGTTAAATTTGAATGAAATCTAGTACACTGAGTTTTTTGATCGCGTATGAACGTAACCGTTTGAAATTGATAGACTAAAGACACAATTGCTCTATGATTCAGGGCAGGCTTTTGCATAGCGACCACCATTTCTGGAGTGGACTGGTTTCAATGGGCCCTTCTTAAAAATTTTTAAGCATCAAAAACAGTACTTATACACACCAAAAACCTACGAGGTATAGCAACAGTGTCTTCAATATGCAGAATTCAAATTGTCATGTTCACGTGAATTTGAATAATTCAGTGCACAATATTTTATTCAAATTAAACTGGCAAACGGCTTATTGTTGTCACGGCTTTTGTCTAATCTTTATCCAAAAATCCCACATTTCTGTTCACAGTTTCACCATCCAACAGTTTCAACACCGCGAGTACTGAAAAAGGCTACATGTTTCCCCATTTCTTTTATGGGGGGAGCAAAGCTTTCTCAAACTAACAATGAGTCAATTTTGGAAGAGATACAATCGCAAGGATTTTTGATTTCCTCCCCCCCTTCCTGTCTTCATTTATTGATCAGTCGCCTTTGGGGAAAGGAGCAAACGCCCTCCCTGCTTCATGATGCCCATATCTCTATGCGCGACAGTCCCCTGGATTGCATTAGCGGTAGCTAATGTTAGGGCATTCTTTTGTTCTTTTTTTGTTTTGGAAATTGCGAAAAACCTTTCTGTTGGTCGGGATTGTTTTTTGGGGGGTTCTTCTTTTTGGGCCACAAGCCCATAGACTTTGCAGTTTTTTGCACACGTTTTTTTTCCGTGCAGTACTTTTGCCATTTATCTTTGTCGCACAGCATTCAAAGTTGGCATAGGCATAGTCATCATTGCATAGATGTATGCCGAAGAGTGACGTCATGATGACGTCATAGGGTGATTTATTATTGATTTTGCCTATCTATTTTAGCCCATTGACATTTTATACGTTTTCAAGGCACAATTAATTTTGGGTTACTTCGCGATCCTCAATCGTCATTAAAGTTACTGCCGGCGAAGAAAATGATTCAAAATCATCGCCTAATTTATGACGTCATGATGACGTCATCGCCTTATTTATATTGATTTTTGAATATTTTATTTTCCCCATATGTTTTGGACACGTTTTTCTAATTAATACAAATGAGCGAGTAGTCTTGTACTTCGGCTCAAGATTACTACAAATACGAAAGAGAAACCGGGTACTTTACGCTCTGTTATTTTATTTGAAATATGCCTAAGAGTCCGAATATGAAGTAATATTTCATAAAAATTCTTCAGTTTAAGCGNGCCAAGGGAGCTAACTCTCCAAAACCCATCCATCGCCCAATCGCGTCTCTTCGCTCAACCACCTTGCTTCGCTACGAACCCAGCCCCCCGGGGCGCAGTCTCAATACCGACAAACCATACCGACAAACTAAACTGGTTCTAGGCTGGTCGCCAGCCTAAGGCAACGAACCACGGTTGACAAAAAAGTGTAATTAAAGTAAACAAGTGTATTAAATGCTACAAAGAAAAACCAAGAAGATACGGGTTAACTAATGGCCTGTTGTACATGTTGTTAGATCACCATAAACGCCGGATAACGTGCAAACGCGGGCTTTATAAAAATTGCTGCTCTCTCTGCAGACCGATCTTGGAAATGGAAATGAACCGAAACAGTAAAAACTATCGCATGAAAGGTCTTTTTCTTGTCGAAATAATAAGTATAAATCAGGTGTTTTAATCTCTACACCGACAATGTGTGGACATGGTAAACAGGAGGATATGTGTATCGAGTGTCAGAAACTTGAGAAACACAAGTCGCTGACGTACAAAAGCCCTATTTCTCAATTAAAGAGAGAGTTTTTGTTTTTAAGGGTTTTAAAAATGACTAAAATATCTTATTTCTTTTATATAAAAAGAAGGACAGAAAGGTTTTACACTGTGTTTATGTGCTATTCTTTCTGTTGATACTCTAACTGTTGCAGTAGGGACCTGGAAATTTGCCTTGTAGTCTTTGTCTTCTTTATGGGCATTCACGATACACTGGCGACTATATCCTCACTGAGTTCCTTCTTCTTGGCCATAGAGACGAGTAACTGAGAATGATCTGAAACTTGTTCTTTCTATACTCTTTTAGGGAGATGTCGGTTCATCAGAACACAAAGTCACGTTGTTTCTTTATGTTTTTAATTATGATGTATGGAAATAAACCTAGCCAAACCAAACCAACCCAACCAAAAGGTCGTCAAATTTAATTGTTCTTTTTGAACATGTTGAAATAGCTTCCTGCCAAAGATTCTTGCAGCATAGGAAGTGAAAATAAGCACTATGAATGGAAGGACGATTTGGGGGGGGGATTTTGTCTTGGGTATGAATAATTTGGACCATGACCAAAAACGAAACCCGGGCCGTATCTATTATTATGCAAATGGTTTAGCCAACACACGTGTTGGTTTGTGCATTGTAACAAATGGAAAAAAAAGGAAGTACCAACATAA